CGCGAGCGGAGAGATTCGCGCTCGCGCATTGTATTAATGTGCTTTCGCGCTACAATAATGCGCTCTCGACATTTGTTATTAAAATAACGCCATACACGTGTCCCCCATCCGAGTCCGAAAGGCCGAGCTCGACGCACTGGGTCGTGGCAACTTTGAGACTGCGCCGAAGGAGCTTTTTAGGCAACGTGAGGCACTGGCTGCAGTTTTCCGGGTTCTCCAAAGCCTCTTCAGCGTGCTTGAGGCCCAAGCAGACCACGCAGAAGGGGTGCGGATCCTTAGTGGCGATCAGCGCGCCACACGCTGCCAGGCAGGCCCGTGATGTGCAGCCCCCGAGAGAAGTAGGTTTAGAGAGCGACATGCCTGCGAAAAACTGAGTAAAATCAGCGGCGGGCAGCTGTGGAAAAGGGGAGCGGGTGAAAATAATCACAGAGCGTGGGCGGCTCAGGATGCAAAAACAGCTTTTTCTGGGCTGAATAAAAGACTGTCACGTCTGGCGGAGGCTGATCTTGACGATATATCCTCCTGAAGACACGAAAAGTGAAGTGCAGAGATCGCGAGAAGCGAATGAAAACTGGAGAATAGCGTCGCATGCAGGCCTTATATGCTCTCAGGTAAGGGGGTGGGGCCTTACCTGGCATTGGCTGCGTGCTTCTGTCTGTCTAGCCAGACTTGGTGCAATTGGATGCTTCTGCAGAGGTCAGGTGGATGCCCTTCCCATAGGTGGATCTCGAAAACGAGATGATGAAAGAGAACCCCCCAAGTCAGATTGCCAGTGAAATGCCCTCCAACAGCAAATGCAATGAGTTTGCTTCCTTCTTTTCTGAGAAGATCAATAATATCAGAAAGGCGATTAGCACATCCTCAAGTTATGCAGAGGTTAGACAGATTCGACCGCAATATCAAAAAGAAGTTACTATGACTGTTTTTGAAGCAATTGATAGCAAAATTTTGGAAGAAATAGTACAGCACATTAAATTGTCAACCTGCTATCTTGACACACTTCCCACATCTTTTTAAAAAAGTGTGCTTAACTGTTTAAGCAGATCTCTTAGAAGTGGTGAACGCTCACTTCTTTCTGGGACTTTTCCAAACTCCCTGAAAACCGCAGTTGTTAAGCCCCTTCTGAAAAAGAGCAATCTTGATAACACCATATTGAGCAACTATAGACCAATATCAAATCTTCCTTTTATAGGCAAGATTATTGAAAAGGTAGTTTTTAATCAGCTGTACAACTACTTAAGTCAAATGAACTCAAGTGGATACCTGGACAATTTTCAATCTGGTTTCCGACCGCATCACAGCACAGAGACGGCGCTCATTAAAATAATAAATGAGTATAGGAGAGTATAAGTCTAAGTGGACGTCCATGACATGCGGAGTCCCACAAGGCTCAATTCTTGCACCGCTCTTGTTTAGCCTGTATATGCTCCCACTAAGTCAAATAATTAGAAAGAACCAAATTGCCTATCACACCTATGCTGATGATACCGTTACCTAGCCTTATCGCCAAATGTCTACAGCCCCATTGACTCCCTCTGCCAATGCATTGATGAAATTAACAGTTGGATGTGCCAGAAATTTTCTTCGTTAAACAAGGAGAAAACTCATTCTCAAGTCATTGCATTTGGAAACAAAGATGAATTTCTCAAGGTGAATGTATACCTTAACTCTAGGGGTCAAACAATTAAAAATCAAGTCAAGAATCTTGGTGTGATTCTGGAGACAGGCCTTAGTTTCAGTACTCATGTCAAAGCAAGAACTAAATCAGCATACTATCATCTCAAAAACGTTGCAATCATTTTTTGTTTCTAGTCAAGACTTGGAGAAACTTGTTCATGCCTTTATCACCAGCAGGGTGGACTATTGTAATAGTCTCCTCACCGGCCTTCCCAAGAAGACTATTAGAAATAATGTTCTTTTTAGCAGCATCATATGACCCCTTTAAGATTGATTTTAAAGTACTTCTACTCTTTTATAAATCACTCAATGGCCTAGGACCTAAATACATTGCAGAATGCTCACTGAATATAAACCTAACAGACCACTCAGATCTTTAGGATCGAGTCAGTTAGAAATACCAAGGGTTCAAACAAAACAAGGGGAGTCCGCTTTTAGCTATTATGCCACCCGCAGTGTATTTTATGTATAATCATTTTCTATTTTTAACTGTTTTAAATGTATTTTAAATCAATTTTTAAATCATTTTGAATTCCTTGTTTTATTGTTGTGATTATTTTTTTATGATTATTTTACTTCCTTTTATGTAAAGCACTTTGAATTCTCTCTTCCCTCCTACTCTCTATCCATCATTCCCTCCTCCCTCAACCCACACCATCCCTTTAACTCCCTTCCTCTACATACCTCATCTCTCTAACATCCCTCTCTAGCTTCCCTCTCTCTCTCACCCTCGCTCTCGTGTCCGGGTGGCTGATAGAAGGACAGGCCGAGGGAGATGATGGCTGCAATCTCTAGGATGATGAGGGTGACGTCTTGTAATGCCAATCTCAAAGATTCAAATGAGGGTCACAAAGACAAGACGAATAACACAATATATTGCATGTGTACAATACAATAAAACATAACCAACTGACCATAATGACGCAAGTGTAATGTATTAGAACGTATCGATTTGTTAAAGCAGATTTTTCAAAGTAAGAAATGATGCAGACTGAGCCACATATATTGAATTTCTGAATAATTAATCACGTTTCTGCTCATTTCAAAGGGCTCCTATATAGAATGAGGGGCCGAGAGAAGACAGGAAGGATGAAGAGAAATGGATATGAAAACATGAGATGCATTGCGTTTAATGTGCCAGTGCCCCCTTCCCCTTTCCCCAGCCATCTATGTCTTTCAGTCTTTCTCTTACTCTCTCTTTCACTCTTTCATAGATTTGTGCAGTTTCCATGGAGATGAAGACATCAAGCACAAATCGTGCTGCTCTTCAACTTCCTGTCTTCGGGCACCTTTTTGCCCAGCTACAGATGATGTCATTGATTCGGTGAGGTCCGCGTGAGCCTTATAATAGATTTTTGATTGGTCTGCTGTGGAAGCTGTTTTTGCAGACAGTGAGTCTTTTCGAGCCTGAGAGAAAAGTCATGATGTTTTCAGTCAGTGTTGAAGTCAGTAGAGTCACCCGGAGTGAAACCCAGCATTACATCTCAGCTGAATGAGGCACTATTGACGTCAGCCTATGAGTGTGCGGTGAACATGCTTCAGGGATGGATAAGTACAGGACAATCCAACCAGAAAATACTTTAAGTGGACAAAGGAGGAATGTATGGGCTGGTATGTATACCGCCACTGAGTAAGAGCAGTAGGCCGACTGTAGGCAAGAGCTCCTGAGGGTTATGCACTGATCACAGTCTCTCCATACCAGCACTCAGCACTAAACCTTGCTATTTCCATTACTGAATGCATGATTATACAACACTCCAGATGAGAAGTGGACAAATGAATGAAAGACAGAGAGAGAGAGTCAGGAAGGACAGAAGATGAATGAAGATGACAAACTCATACTATCTGAAGATGGACAGTGCACCTAAAAATAACACTTTGCAACAAGGTTCCATTTATTAACATTAACTACATTAGTTAACATTGAACAATTCTTCTACAGAATTTATTAGTCTGAGTTAATGTTAATTTCAACATTCACTGATTCATTTTCAGACATTGTATGTTAACATTAGTTAATGCACTTTGATGTGACTGTATTTTTATTAGCTAACTTTAACAAAGATTCATAAATGCTTTAAGAAATATATTGCTCATTGTTAGTACGTTATCTAATGACCTTCTTGAGAAATTTACACATTTTTAACTTTCATGAAAGTAAAATTAATGGGGACGTTTCAAGCTTCAACAAAGACAAAAAATAACCATAAAAGTATCATAAAGTGATCTATCGTGCACTGTTTTCCAAGTCTTTTGAAGTCATATGATTTTCAATTATTCATTGAAAATATTCCTAGCTCTTCTTGGCACATTTATGAGAAAAGCTGCTATGTCTGTCTGATTTATGAAAGGATCTTTTTTTTTTTTATCAGATCTTTTCAGTGAATTGGCTGATTGGTTCACAAAACCCATCCAAACGATTTGCTAATGAATTGGTTAATCTGGTTCACAAAATCAGTCTAAGAGATCCAAATGATCCGGTTCACAAAATCGATTGAACTGATTTGTTCATGAATCAGACTGACCTAGTTCACTCACTAACTGGGTGCAGCAGTAAACAGGTCCTTAGAGAGAGAAAAAAAAAGAAATTTAAGTGATTATTCACTGAAAATCTCTCTTAGATCTCCTTGGCAAATTTGAGAGAAACAGCTATGTCTGATTTGTGAAGGAACTGTTTTCCTGAGTCAGATCTTTTTAGTAAATTGAATAATCCAAATGATTCTGACTGATCCAGTTCACAAAATAAATCTGAATGATTTGTTTATAGTCGCTAGATGGGATTAACAATGAATAAAAATTTTGGTCTGTTCCTCTCAAAGCTATTGTATGATTTCAGAACACTTGGAATATTGTACAGCAGACATCATATGAACCACTTTTATGTTACTTTTGTTCTGTATTTTTAAGTTTTAAAGTTCCAATCTCTAGATATTATATCTGTATGGAAAAGAGCAACCAGCACGTCTTCAAAACTTCTCCTTTTGTGTCCAACAGAAGAAAGTTGTTTGTTATACAGGTTTGTAAATGTATGTAAGTTATACAGGTTTGGAACAACAGGAGGCTGAGTAAATGAAGACCAGATTTCCATTTACTGTATGGATGAACTGTCCCTTTAAGAAAAACTGCTGAGCAGCCATGCCCGCATCCATTCGCTTTAAAGAATCTCTTGCTTTTCAAACACCCCACCTCCTTCTCCCCCCACCCCGCTCACTCACTCACTCTCTCTCTCTCTTGCCATCTCCCCTTGGTGTGTCCTTGACAATGCGGCAAGCTGTTCCAGAATTCCTTCTCTCTCCTTCCGTTCCTTCCTAACCTCTCTCTCTCTTTCTCTTTTTCATTCTCTTTCCACCCTCCACCCCCATTGCTCTCGGATCTCCATGCCCTGCTGCTGCAGAACACGTATCTGTGTATGTTCAGGCTGATAGATTGATACGTGCATGCCCTGCACTGAAAACAGTGTTTATAGCAGCAGGCTGAGATGTTTGGTTTCCACGACATTCTAATTTATTGAGATGCACCTGTATGTTCAGGCTGATAGATTGATATGTCCACGCCCTGCACTGAAAATAGTGTTTATAGCAGCAGGCTGAGATCTGTGGATCTGTGGTCCGCATTCCAAAGCTCAGCTGAAACGCATTGCTGGAGAGGAGGGAGAGACACTAATGGACTTCCATTTTCAGGGCCTCATCTTCACAGTGTCAGCCTTATTCAGCATCACTTAATCTCCGCCCCCTCTGGTTTCCTCTCCTCTTCTGTTGTCTCTGCTTTGTCATGGCCATGTAACAGGATTAGTTCTGCTTCCACATGCACTTAGAGGCAAACTCCACTTATTGCATTACTATTAGCATCAGGTTTTGTTATCACCTGTCAACAAAGTGATAACAGCTGTTAGCTATCTCCATACATATAGTCTGAAAGCCTTCACATCTTCTCAACCATGACACCAGTGGAGGTGTCGAAACCTTTTAGTTCATTTCGGGTTTAGGTCCGTGTACTTTTGCGTCCATTAATTTTTCACTTTTTAACCCAGAAATGAAATACAGAAAATGCGTTTTTTCATGATGCTACACTCTAAAAAATGCTGGGTTATTTCAACCCAACTTTGGGTCAAATTTGGACTAACCCAACTTTAGGGGTTAAAAATGTAATGTAAAAATGTAACCCAACAGTTGGGTTAGTCCATATTTGACCCAAAGTTGGGTTGAAACAACCCAGCATTTTTTAGAGTGTAAGAGGAACAGTGACCGCTTACACACCGCAAAGTTTCAGAAGTGACATCCACATATAAATGCGGCATTTATATGCGGATGTCACTATCATTGCAATGATAGTGATAACCATAACAATGGACAGGGCAAAAATGTGTCAAAATAGATGTATATTAAGGCTAGAGCACCCTCACTAATTTCAGAAGTCTCAGTGATTTGATTCTGGAAGTAGGAGAAATTATAATTTTATATATTTTTATTTTAAAATAATATTTTAAATTAGGCCTAATCAGTGGTTTATTGTAACGAAGTAATAATACTTCGTTAAAGAACTTAATTATTTTTTGGGAGTATCTGTACTTTACTTGAGTTTTTATAGGCCTATTTCAGACAACTTTTACTTTTACTACATTTCCTAATTAAAATGTATACTTTTACTCCGATACATTTCCCCGAAGTATATTCGTTACTTACTACAAAATAGTCAGAAGTCAGAAGAACACGGACTGCAGGAAAGCAGGTTTGATGAATCAGTGGTCTGGCGTTTGCAAGATAGACTCTTAAAAACACCTTTGCTCACGTGCAAACAAGTGCGCGCACAACCGCGGATGATTCATTTTCCACTCAAGTCGAGTTAGACATAATATTGCTTGTTTTTGCTCAATTTTTCCAACGAAAATAGTTCCAAAGATTTTTGCGTCTCTGAGCAATGGACGGTGTTTACTTATTGAATTAATCAGCTTTTTGAACAAATCGGTTGATAAAATGATTCAGTGATTCACTCATTAACACAGTCTAATGCTTTGTTTCTGAATGAGTCAGCCGTTTGAATGAATCGGTTGAATCTCAATGACTCACTGATTAACTGATCACTGATAGTCACTTGCTGTGACCTACTGGCGGTTTTAATTTCAAATATCAGTATTCAACGTTTTATGTTAAAAACAAAACATTATTTATCCAACTGTGACTGCAGGTTAAATGCATCCATGTCCCCTCTGAGATACATAAACTGTGTAAATATACATCTAAATGCTATTTCAGATGCAGATTCCAGAAATGTTTTCTTATGTTGGAATGAAAGACACTAAGTACCGGATGAAGTGCTTCTTATTCTTACCCAAAAATACAAATGGAAGAAAGAGTTACACACAATATTGCTACTCAAGCTGTGCATGAACCTTATATATATATATATATATATATATATATATATATATATATATATATGTTATATATAAAAAAAAAATAA